TACTCCACCGACAACGTCGTGTGCCTGCACGAGCCCGAGTGGCGGGCGCTGCCGGCGAGGCCGAGGGTGCCGAGAATAGATACGGTCCTCAGCCGCAGCCGCTGGCGGTCGAAGGAGGGCAGCGGGAAGCTCCGGCGCGATACGAAACTATATTCAAATACCATTTGCTCCTGTGTATATTCAAGTAATGCTCTTGGCCGGCTACACGCCTGCTTGCATGCTCCTGTTTGCTTGGCACTGTTTGCTGGCACAAGGTGAAGCTGCTGCTTGCTTGGTGCCGTCTCTGCTTGCCTAGGCGGCAGCAAGCTGGCTGGGGTGGCCCGGTGGCGGCGGCGGCTGGGAGTTGGCGGCGGCGGCAGGGAGGTTGCGGCGTGAGAAAGGGTTCGGCGCACCCCCTGCAGTGCCGCGATAAAAAAAAAATCGAGAAAAAATTGACGTGGGACTCAAATTTAATTTTTTGAAAGTTATTTATTGAAAACTGTTGGAGATGCTCTAACAATCTATTATGGAGATAAGCGCCCGTAGGGCCAGTGATTCTTATTGTGCGAGTGAATGAAGTCTGGAACAAAACTAGTCAGGAGGAAAAACTAATCAGAGATGCATTCTTGCATTCATGTAAGAAAAGAAAGAGATTAAAAACCCGACATGCAAGGAGATATACTCGCAAAAGAAAAGAAAACTTTAATTAGACCGTAAGGGAACTAATCAATTGGAAGAGTCATAATAGAAACCGTGCGTTGGGGCCTAAAGCGGTGCACTGCTCGCCCCAATTACATGCACAAGTTGTCAAGTTTGGTTACTGGCTGCAAGTATATATTAATCAGATTACATTAAGGTTAGAAATTAACATCAAGGGGGATGTAGCTCAAATGGTAGATCCCCCGCATCTCCAAAGTAATTTGCACCGTCTCTTTTTTTTGCCTTTGGCCCATGGACACACTGTTTCTGTTTGCTACTCCCTCCGTCCAAAAATAAATGTCATTCTCGCTTCCCGAGAAGTCAAGCATCTTTAGCTTTGATCAAATATATATAAAAAATTATTAATATTTATAATATATAATTAGTATCATTAGGTAGATCGTTGAATATACTTTCGTAATAAGGGCCTGTTTGGTTCCAAATAAGTCACCTACTTATAAGTTTAAAAGTGAAAAAATGACTTATTTTGTCAAACACCACCAACTTATAAGTCACCCCTGCTTATAAGTTTTAAGTTGGTTCACCCCTGCTTAAAACTTATAAGTCACCCTTTTTCGCATGGAGCCCACACCTTTAATGAGCTTATAAGTTATCTACAACCAAACAGGCATGACTTATAAGTCACTGGTTTTCAGTCACCTGACTTACCTGACTTATGGAAACCAAACAGGCCCTAAACTTATTTGAATATATAAATGTTGCACGTATTTTCTATAAATCTAGTCAAAGTTGAGAAAGTTTGATATACACATATCTAATAACGACTTCTATTTTGAGACGGAGAGAGTATGCTTTTCTCTCCCTTCGTCAATTGCAAGCTGTTGCGATTGCGATCGAATAAGCTAACTGCAGTCACACAAAATTGTAATTATAACTATTGATTGATCTTTTTGATAAACTAGTCAAACTAAGTTTAACTTTTGGACCTATAGAATTTTATTCTTTCTGAACGGAGAGTACACATGGCGAACAACTTAATAGTCTCGTTTTTCAATCTTCCTTCCGTATGTTTTAATTCTTTTCCTTCTCTTATTATATTTCATTTTCCCTAAATGGAAATATACTCCATTCTAAATTACATGAAAAAGATAAGGGCCTGTTTGGGATAAAGGAATACAAAACGGAGAAAATGAAAAAAATGCAGGAAGGGGGGTACAGATGTTATGAAAAATAGATAAATGGAAAAACACATGAAAATATAGATAGAGGTGTTTGGAACATATGAATTATAACACATGAGTCTCAAAACATGAGGTGTTATTAAAAGACATGAATACTTTATTCATTAATTAGCAGTCACTTTTTCTCATTTATGCCACTTCCACGTGGGACCCTTTGTCCATAGACTCAACCCACCACGAATCCTCTGCAGGATGCGCAAAAAAGATTACGGCCATTACTGCCATCGTTATCTCCTATGCAGTCTTTGTCCTCTCCGCAAAGTTGATTTCTCTCTCTCTCCCCCCCTCTCACCATTGGCATGTGCGCCTCGGACTTCAGCGAAAAAATGGATGGATAGTGGAGGTTTAGATTCGTGTATTTTGTGAAGCAAAGGGAACCTTTCCTGAGGAACGGGAAAGAGCATTCCTACGTTCCAAATGACGTGTGACATCACTAAAACAAGGGCTTATTGGATACACACCATTGCAATTTTCACAACTTTGAACCACGCCACTACAATTCGTCTAATTGGGCTGGTGCCATTACAATTTCGCAAGAGTTTGAAATACGCCACTATCTACGGCGACGCCGTCATGGACCCACTATTCAGGCGTACATGAGCTGTTGTATTTTCGTATTGCCACTTTTGCCCTTCATGCCACGCAAAAGGATAAGCCACGACCGCCGACGCGCGACGCGTCTTTCTGTTCGCCGTCCCTGACTCCGCATTCCTCACTCCCTTCCCCAACCCAATCCCTAACCCTAGAACTCGAGAGCGACTGCGAGGCGGTTGGCGGCGGCGGCAGCGGACCTGGTCTCCGGTGGAGGAGGAGTGGGGCTCCACAATCCATGAAGGTCGAGTGGGCGGTGGCAGCAGACCAATAGCGCGGCGATGGTGCACGTTGCGACAACGGCTGCGGCGCCCGAGGTCGCCGATTGTTCGGCCACGGATGGCACCAGGTACGCTGTTTTGATGTAGCACCCATACTAGCTGAGGATGGCGACGCGGGTGGAAGCACGGGCGGCGGGTGGCGGCGAGGGACGGCACAACATAGCGATTCCACGTCCGTCTGGCGAAGGCGGCGGCGCGACGACGGGGGGGAGCGGGGGGCGGCGCGCGACCGGCGACGGAGCGTCGTCTGGCGGGGAGAAGCCCGCCGGTGTGCGATGCGAAGCGGTAGCGCGGTGCACACGGCGGGCTGGTTGATTCCACGTCTGTCGAATTGGGGCTGCTTGGTTGCGGTCCAAGAGCTCTGACGGGTTGGGGGATTGGGAAGCAGGAGCGGATCTACCAATTGGGGCTGCTTGGCTTATGCATTTTTTACGCGAGGGATGGTGTCTGAGGAGTTGGGAGGTAGACGACGGCGTTGGACGACTATTGATTCTGCGTCTGAGAGAGGGTAGAGGCCAAAGAAAGTTGAACCGTTATTGGTCTTTAGGCTTTGGCGGCGATTCTCCCTTTCCCCTTTAAGTCAATTCAAAGGATTCCAAAGTTAAAAAAACAAAGATTCCAAAATCAAGTTGATTCTCTTATAAGTGATGTTTGGAAGAGCACCGCCGGGTACATGGTTTACTTTTGAGTTTTATGAATTAAAAAATGATAAAAAATGGTGCTGTTTTTTTAGTTTCCTTTGGACAAATGTTACTTTTCTCGCTAGTATCTAAGATAGTGTTCTTGCATTCCTTATTTTTAGTGTTCCAATTCAGCCATGACTATTTTGTTATCCTTTGTTTTGTCCTAGGATGTTTTCGTGGGAACAGCCCCTGTGTGCGCTTCTAGATGACATAAATTCATCACTAAAGCCTTCTACTTATCTTTGAACTACAACTAGACCTTATCCTTCCCGATCTAGGAATGCGGCTGGTCCGAACCACTAGAACCTACTGATCCAGAACCACAAGAACCTACTGATCCAGAACCACATCCTAATCCAACAATGCCTAACAAATCCCAATGTGTTGCCGAAGAAGAGCATGACATCTTTGATAATGAAGAAGAGTATGTTGGCGTCGATGATGAGCATATGTACATTACAATTCCACCTGCACAGCCATCTTTGAATGCACAAACATATTCATCTATGCCTACTAATGCTGCCAATCAAATTGTTCCTGCTGAGGCAGAGGTTACTGATGCAGATCCTGATGAGATAAGGGTCTTACATGATCCTGAGAACCCAAGAATAGAGAAGGGTGCCTTTTTTCCTGACATCATCACCTTCAGGAAAGCAGTGAGGCACTATGTAGTGAAGAAAGGTTTTGAGCTTGCTCCTGGCATCAAGACTGACCCTACCAGGTATATTGCAAGGTGTAAGCACCCTGGCTGTCCTTGGCATATTCATGCTTCAAAGATTCATGATCAGAAAACTATACATGTATAAACAATTCTGTATCCTTGTTATTAAATTCAGTTTGTTTTTTTAATTAAATTCAGTTTGGTTGTGCATACTACTTGTTCATGCTTGTCTTTTGTTCAGATTAAGACCCTACCTTTTGAACACGATTGTCCAACCACGAAGCTTGTTGTAAACAAAATGCCTTCTCAAGAATGGGTGTCGAGATAGACTGAAAAGAATGGTTGAAGAAGAATCCAAGCAAGCGTCAAAAGGCGACCAAGGAGAAGGTTGAGGGAGATTATGGGATAAAGCTCAAGTACAAAGAAAGCTTTATTCAGTGTGCAACTAGCACCGCAACATATTCATGGTAAATATGAAGAGTCATTCAAATTGCTATTTAATTGGAAAGCTCGGATGGAGATAACATGTCCAGTAGCATTGTAGAGATAGATGTGGAGAAAGTAGGCAAGAAAATGAGGTTTAAGAGGATATTTGTAGCTCTCAAACCATGTGTGGATGGGTTTATAACTGGTTGTAGGCCATTCATTGGTGTAGATGCATCAAGTCTAAATGGTAAATACACGTGAGTTAGCATCTCTACATGGGGTTGATGGACATAATCGGTTATACTACATTGCTTATGCTATTTTTGATTGTGAAAATGAGGATAACTGGAAGTGGTTTATGCATCATTTGAGAAGGGCTGTTGGGAGCCCAAAAGGACTAGTGATTTGTACTGATGCATGTAAGGGCTTGGAGAAAGCAATTGGTGCAGTGTTTCCTGAGGCTGAGTACAGGGAGTGCATGAGGCATTTATATTCCAACTTCATGAAGCATTACAAAGGAGATGTTTTCACAACTCATCTCTATCCAGCTGCTAGAAGCTACACTGAAGGGTTGTTCAAGTGGCACTTGAAGAAGATATATGAATTTGCTCCTGATGCAATCAAGTACTTGCAAGATCACCACAACCGAATCTGGTACAGGGCTGGTTTCTCCGAGGACAGCAAATGTGATTATCTGACAAACAATGTGTCAGAGAGCTTCAACAGTCAAGTGAGGGACATGAAAGGGCTACTCATACATGAGTTACTTGATGGGCTCAGGGAGATGATAATGGAGAAGAGGTATCTTAGGAGAAAGGTTGGTAGAGAATTGGGAGAAGGCATTTTGCCTAGTGTCATCAAGGAACCGAACCTAATTAGCAAACACTTGAAGGTCGTCAAAGTTGCAGTAAGTGATGAGGATTTTGCTGAGGTGACCTTGCTTGATGATTGGAACAACACCAAAAGGCATACAGTGGACCTAGTCAATCATTGTTGCGGCTGTAGGCAATGGCAGGTCACAGGAAAACCTTGTAGACATGCACTTGCTTGGATCTTGTCCAACAGAGGCTTGAAAATCAAGGATTTTGTGCATGAATACTACTATGTGGCTAGGTTCAAAGCAGCATATGCAGATATAGTTCCACACATGCCTGATAGGGCTGACTGGCCTGAGGTGGAGCTAGGATATAAACTGCACCCACCACTACAGAAGAGGGCAGCAGAAAGCGCACCTAGAGTGGTCGGGGATCGAGGGAGTATGGAAGAAAGGGCAAACAAAAAGAAAGTGAGATGCAAAAGGTGCAAAGGCTATGGGCACTTTGAGAAAACACCGCAAACTTGTCAACCAACAGAAGATGATGATGGTGTTGATGAGGCAACTACGCTTGCATCACTTAAAAGGTACATTTCTTATTCCCCGATTTGCTTGTGAATGTAAATGGGCAAGGAATGTCTAAATGATAGCCATCTCATATAGGGTGAGGCAAGAAGATGAAGGACCGAGCAAGACACAAAAAAAAAGCAGAAGACAAGTGCAACCAAGCAAGCACCCAAGAAAATCGGAAGACAAGTGCAACCAAGCAAGCGCCAAAGAAGAAGAAGACTCAGAAAAGAAGAAGCTTCAAAGTCGCAATGCAAGCCTCTGAAGCAAGAGTGGTGAGAAGCTTCAACAAATGCCTCGGCGTGGATTAGATGATGTGTTTTGTTGTGCATTTGCTGGTCTTAGTGACCTGAAGTGTTATCTATGGCTTTTGCTAGTCCAAGCGAACCAACATGTGCTTTGTAAGTGACCTTGATGTGTTTGGGAACTATGCAACTAGAATGGTGTCCTCTGTATAGATGTTAAGTACAATGTTTGAGAACTATGGATGTGAACCGATGGAATGTTTCCATTTTTATTTCTGGAATGATGAAAATGCATGTTCTGGGAACTATGTGCCGTATGTGCATTACATGTTTCCATCTTTATTTCTAGAATGTAGCATGTGCGCTTGACATGTCACTGCATGTTCTGGGAACTATGCGCCAAATGTGCATTGCATGTACTGAAGTTGATTCATAAATAAACTAAACAAAATGAGAGAATGGCAAACCCAAGTGCTTCACTTCAGATAAAAGCCGGCGTCGGGACATTATCCTTTCGCGGGAGGGTAGAAAGGTCCATACGCAAATATGGTGGCCTCCTGTAGCCCTGACAGTGGGTCCAAGATGGCATGGAGCGTAGACAATGGCGTATTTCAAACTCTAGCAGAATTGTAATGGCACCAGCCCAATTAGGCGAATTGTAGTGGCGTGTTTCAAAATTGTGAAAATTGTAATGGTGTGTATCCAATACGCCCCTAAAACAAAGGGTTGCTATTCCTTCAATATTCCTATGCAAAAACTCCAATCCAAACAGGCCCTAAGCATTACAATATCAAATAAATCTATCTATGTATCTATCCATATCCATATTATTAAAAGCAATATGTTTTTCTTAGTCGCTTCTATAAACATTTTAATGTCAAATCTACATCAAAATGTGTTTCATCGTCACATCGTGTGGCAGGTACTGTACATGTAGCTAGAGGTGGCCATTTGGGTTACCCAAAAAGTTCGAGCCAGATAATCTAAGCTTTAAGAAATTTCATGTTTCCAAAATTGATACCTGAATTTTTTCTTGAAAAATAATTCTATTGAAAATCAGTAAAACCATAAAAATCAGAAGAGATAGAACTCTAGCCGCAAATTTAAGCAATAAAAAATTTTCAGTAGCATTTCTGAAGGAAAAACACACGAGCATTACGCATCACAATTGACATTAGAAAATAGCACAATCAATCAATCACAAATAGTAAAAAGCATAAACGCTTCCACTATTTCGGGTAAAATGATAAATTAGGTACTCGGGCATGATACCCGAATTATCCGAACTAAAATCACGTTTCTAGACTTAGTATCCAAAATAGCAATAGGTTATTTCGTGTTTACTTATTTCAAAGTCGGATCCGAACAATTCATGTTTAGATTTTAGGTATGGAGTTTTATACCTACCCTCCGGTAAATTTAAGGAAGAGTTCCCTTTTTGAGGGGCCATGAAAGCTCAAGTTTGGTTTTGGTGAATTTATGAAACCCTAAGTGCTAACCTAGTTTATCAAGTGATCATGAGATAGGTAGCACATTTCAAGTGATGAAGCAAATGAAGAACATGACATGATGATGATGATGCCATGGTGATGATCAAGTGCTTGAACTTAAAAAGAAGAAAGAGAAAAACAAAAGGCTCAAGACAAAGGTATAAATAGTAGGAGCTATTTTGTTTTGGTGATCGAGACACTTAGTGAGTGTGATCACATTTAGGATCGATAGCCGTACTATTAAGATGGGTGAAACTCGTATCGAAATACGGTTATCAAAGTGCCACTAGATGCTCTAACTCATTACATATGCATTTAGGATCTAGTGGAGTGCTAACACCCTTGAAAATGTTTGTGAAAATATGCTAACACATGTGCATAAGGTGATACACTTGGTGGTTGGCACATTTGAGCAAGGGTTAGGAACTTCACCAGCGTCCTATACAGAAAAGACGGAGGTCATTGTAAGTGACCGAACGCTGGCCTCGGTTGGACCGGCGTGTCCGGTCAGTAGAAGCTGCAAAGACGCTGGCGTCGGTCTCTGACCGGACGTTGGGTCACTTAGTGACCGGACGCTGGAGGGTTGCGTCCGGTCCTGCTGACGTGGCAGCGCACAGGGGAGACGCCGAGTGACCGAACGCCGGGTTAGTCCAGTCGAGCATGACCAGACGCGTCCGGTCGTGATTTCTCGCTTCTGGATGCTTACTGGAAATGACCGGACGTTGTGGTCCAGCGTTCGGTCACTTCGCAGCAGCGCATCCGGTCATCACAATACACTAGCATCGGTGGTAATAAATATGGCTTTGTGATAGTGGATGATTACACTAGATACACATAGGTATTCTTTCTAGTGGACAAAAGTGATGTGTTTACAACATTCAAATCATTTGTCAAGGGCATTCACAATGAGTTTGAAACAACCATCAAGAGAGTTAGAAGTGACAATGGTAGTGAGTTTAAGAACACTAGAATTGATGAGTTGTGTGATGAATTTAGAATTAGACATCAATTCTCGACCAAGTACACTCCACAATCAAATGGTCTTGTTGAGAGGAAGAATAGAACACTCATTGATATGGCAAGGTCTATGCTTAATGAGTACAATGTGAGTCAATCTTTTTGGGCCGAAGCTATCAACACGACTTGCTATTGTAGCAACCGCCTCTATTGTCACCCATTGAAAGAGAAGACACCATATGAGCTCTTGAATGGTAGAAAGTCCAACATTGTATATTTTCGGGTCTTTGGTTGCAAATGTTATATCTTGAAGAAAGGCACTAGATTGGGCAAGTTTGATAAGAAATGTGATGAAGAATTCCTACTTGGATACTCCACTTCAAGCAAAGCATATAGAGTTTGGAATTTGGATAGTGGTACTCTTGAGAAAGTTCATGATGTTGAATTTGATGAAACCAAGGGTTCACAAGAAGATAATGAGAACTTGGAAGATGTTAGAGGCATTCAACTTTCAAATGCTATGAAAAACATGGATGTTGGTGAATTGAGGCCTAAGCAAGTGAATGATGATGAAGATGATCAAGTGCAAGTGCTCTCCAACTCAAATGTGCTAGATGATACAAATCAAGCTACTACAAGTAGCTCTCATGAAAATGAACAAGATCAAGTGTCTAGTACATCTCAACCCAATGATCAAGCAAGTGCAAGTAATCAAGTTTCAAATCCTCCAACCAACTAATATTGTAAGGGATCATCCATTGGACACTATAATTGGAGATATTATAAGAGGTGTGTAAACTAGATCAAGATTGGCTTCATTTTGTGAGTATTTCTTATTTGTGTCATCCATTGAACCAAAGAAGATAGATGAAGCATTGAAGAATGTTGATTGGGTGAATGCTATGCATGAAGAATTGAATAACTTCACAAGAAATTAAGTATGGGAATTAGTATAGAGACCAATGGGACACAATGTGATTGAAACCAAATGGGTCTTTAGAAACAAGCAAGATCAAGATGGGATAGTAGTAAGGAACAAAGCAAGATTGGTAGCACAAGGCTATACACAAGTTGAAGGTCTTGACTTTAGAGAAACATATGCTCCCATTGCTAGATTGGAAGCAATTAGAATCTTGCTAGCCTATGCTTGTGCCCACAACATCAAGCTCTATCAAATGGATGTTAAGAGTGCATTCCTCAATGGTTACATCAATGAAGAAGTATATGTTGAGCAGCCTCCCGGTTTTGAAGATGACAAGAAGCCCGACCATGTGTACAAGTTGAAAAAGGCATTGTATGGCTTGAAGCAAGCACCTAGAGCATGGTATGAGAGATTAAGAGACTTCCTACTCTTTAAAGGGTTCATGATGGGCAAGGTTGACATCACTCTTTTCATCAAGAAGATTGGAAAAGATTTATTTGTGTTGCAAATCTATGCTGATGATATCATATTTGGATCAACCAATCAAGACTTTTGTGATGAGTTTGGAAAGATAATGGCTAATGAGTTTGACATGTCCATGATTGAAGAGTTAAGTTACTTCCTTGGTATTCAAATTAAGCAATTAAAGAATGATACATTTGTGAGTCAAGGCAAGTATATCAAGGACATGATCAAGAAGTTTGGCATGAGTGATAGTAAAGCCATTAGCACACCAATGGGAACAAATGACAACTTGGATAGTGATGCAAGTGGAAATATGGTGGATCAAAAATTGTATCGGTCCATGATTGGAAGCCTACTCTATGTGACCGTATTAAGGTCGGATGTCATGTTTAGTGTATGTATGTTTGCAAGATTTCAAGCCTCACCAAGAGAAAGTCATTTGAAGGCTACAAAGAGAATATTGAGGTACTTGAAGCATACACAAAATATTGGTTTGTGATATCCCAAAGGAGCAAAGTTTGAGTTAGTTGGTTACTCTGACTTGGATTATGCGGGATGCAAGGTTGAAAGAAAGAGCACCTCGGGCACATGTCAATTGTTGGGAAGATCACTTGTTTCATGGTCACCAAAGAAGCAAAATAGTGTTGCATTATCAACCGCCGAAGCCGAATATATATCCACCGGTAGTTGTTGTGCACAAATATTTTGAATGAAGGCCACTTTGAGTGATTTTGGAGTCAAGTTCAAGAAAGTGTCATTGCTATGTGACAATGAGAGTGCAATCAAGTTGACCAACAATCCGGTTCAACATGCAAAAACAAAGCACATTGATGTCCGCCACCATTTCATAAGAGATCACCAACAAAAAGGGGACATTTGCATTGAAAGTGTAGGCACCGAAGATCAACTTGCCGATATATTCACCAAGCCATTGGATGAGAAAATGTTTTGTAAGCTAAGGAATGAGTTGAACATATTGGATTTCTCAAATATGTGTTGATGCACCCCCCATTTATATGACATGCCTCTCCTTCGAGCAATCCAAGGTAAAAGTTGATTGGCATGGCATACATCCTTGCTAAGGACATGTTTAGTGCATCTAGACATCTTTCACATTTAATAGGCTCATTCATGAAAATCAAATGAATTTGATGATTGTATGGTACCACTATTTCTTCTATGCTTA